ATTGTAAGAACTGGAGAGTTTGAAAGGCCCAGTATCTTCCAATCCTGTCTTACCTGTGAATGGGTTTTGTAGTGCTGTCTTTAACTCTCGTAATTGCTGCTGTCATTGAGGAAGCCACCCTTCCCCCTTTCCTGTGCACGTGTCTGCTTACTACCTTATCAGTTTTAATTTAGTTACTACTGCTGGTTTTGATAAACGCACTGCTGTGTAGGACTTGATGACTGTTACTTGTGGTTCAAAAGGAAACCTTCGATCCTGAGTTGACTTTCGTGGTATGAATAATCTGATGGGATGATTCTGTTGGGATTATCAGCAGTACAGGAGTTATTTATAGCTTTCAGGTTTAAAGTTGAGCTGTTGAGAAGTAGGCTTCTCTCTCATCACAACATTTTGCTTAAGATGGAGAAAAATGCTTCAACTCTCTGGTCTAGTATAACATCCACTCTCCTTCTCTTCATCTGTCCTCTAGAAAACTCTGGGTTTCTGTATTCTGAAGACTTTCTGTCATTTTGCATATGTCCTGAAATAAAGGCTTGCTGCCATTGCACTGATGTTGCTGCAGCAGTGCTGAATCATTAGGAATGCTGGTATACATGGATTGCTGGCATTTTGAGTATGTTGATTGCCTCCCATTTTTTGCCACTGGGGCACCATCAAATAACGTGATAGTCGTAATACTTATGGTAATGCCTCCTTTAGTACCACTGCGATTCCAAGCATCGTTACCATTATCAAGTAGAAGCAGCACTAGCAGTGTGAAGTAGCCCTTTTTTGTGCCTGAAAACCGATGTATTGCAAGACCTGATAGAATCGAAGATAAACAATTGCAAAGAGCGGGGGTTTCTATAGTGATAGTATGTTTCCAGCTTTGTCGAAAAAAATCTCTTGGCTGGGTAGAATTTGATATGGAGTGACAAAACCAGCCAATTCTCAACGCACTATGTTTTAATTCCTTAGTGCTCCACTCCTGATCACCATAACTCTTGCTGTGGTGCTGACTGTCAAGAAGACACTGCCAGTCAGTTAAGATGTAAGGTACTCCCAACAGCCTCTGTTTGATAGTTTCTATAAGCGTTGTGCTAGAGTGTTGAAGACCTTGAAGATAAAAAAAGCCAACCCAGAAATAATTTTGAGGGCGTTTTGTTACATATAAATGTTGTATGTACACACATTATGTGTATATGTACGCAAAGTGTGTGTGTATATATGCTTCAGTCACAATGAAAAGACAGAGTGGGACAAAGCATAAAGGACTTTGGAAAACTTAACCAGTTGGCAGCCTTGGGCTGATTAAAGTTGGGATATAACCTTGATCACAGTCGAGAAGTAATGTTTAGTCTGTGTAGTGTACAATAGGCTGCTGCTGCAAAGCAGAGACAAATACCTTTTATTTTCACTGTAAACTTTAACGGTTCCTGTAGTATGAGCAGGAGAGAAGTGGATTTTTGTGCTGCTCTGTGCAGTAGAAAGTGGCAAAAGGTGTAAACAAAACATTTTTAAAAATAGACTTTTCAATTTTCTTTTCCTTTAGTGGGAAGAGGAACATTTAGCACCTTAAATGTTGTTTATGTAAATGTTTTGGAACATTGGGAAGGTGGCAATGCAATATTCTGTCTCCAGTGTATGTTTCAAAACTGTCTTTGGACTCAAAGGCTAGAAACTGGATTTTCTAAATAAAAAGTCTGATTTTTTGGACCATTTGAGAAGCATCCTTTTGCATGTTTCTCATCTCCTCCTTAACACTGAGTCAAAAATGGAGACATCTTTTAATGATAAAAACCCCCAAACTCACTAATGATTGTATTTTCTTGAGCAGATGATGTTGTCTAATTGTCCATTTAGAAGAAAAACCCTGACATCTTCAGGAGAGTTCTATTTTATAGAAGTGGTTTTCTAATTTATATTTGAGCTGTTGATGTAAAAAGACTTTGGTCCTGTGAAGTGGGACTTGTGTTTTGTCTTTAATTTCAGTATAGTCCTTCTATTCTCATGTTGCCTTAGAAGAGCAGTACAGACTAATGTATATGATATGTATTCCAAGTTACAGTTATTTATCTTGCTAAAACTGGCTGTGTTACATCTACATTAACACTGAACCATTTCGCATGTATTACCAAAAACATCACCGCAGAGAATGAATACTGAACAAAATATGAATCTGTGCAGCTAACACTGAATTAAAACATAATGGACGCTTTTTCCCATGTCATGGTTTGCTGTAGAACACCACAGTCGTTTGGTGGAGTATGTGACTGCCATTCCTCAATGCCATTCTCTGCCTTTTTTTTTTTTTCTTTTAGTAAGAGATTGAAGATTTCTGCATTTTCCCATTCCTCCCAGCTGCTTTGTTTAGAGTGATATCTTTAGTTCATTTTTCCTTGAAGTACTAATCCTTCTTGGATTTTCTTCCACCTAAGTAATGCAAAGAGATTGTTCTAAACCATGTGAAATAAAGAGGTTGTAAATCCTCTCTGAAACACCAGTCTCCTTCTACCAAATTATTTCTAATTGATTACGAGTTATGTTTCCCTCTTCAAAAGTCTTGAAAAGTGAAGTAAAGCAGAAAAGAACTACCATAGTGAGACCTGGGTTGTCTTGAATAGTTTTTATAATAAATCATGGCAGTTACACTGACAGTGTGCTGTACATGGAAAAACATGAAATATTTCTGTATTTTTTTGAATTTGTGAGTGACTTTAGGCCAATTTCCCAATATCCTAATTGGATACGTGATGTTTTTGTGTAGTTCTGTCAGCAGCTGGTTTGTTTTTAGACAGCCTGAGGCCTTTTGAGCAGAGTGTGCTCTTGGTTGCCTTATCAGAATCATCCCACAGATAAGTCAGAAATAAGTTTCATTTTAAAGTTTGCTTCTGTAAAGCATCTACCCACTTAATAAAGGGACAGTTAAATCACAGTGGGAGCAAAAACTTCCTTTTATCACCTAATGTACTGTTTCTAATCAAAACTTGTTTGAATGGAAATCATTCCCAGAAAGCTCTTAGTTAATGCTAGAAGATCAGGAGAAAAATACTCAGTTTATGGCAGCTAGTCCAAAGACAGGAACAGTTTGTCATTGCTATACATTAAACGTGAGTATTAGCCAAGAAGATGATGCAGTGAATTTAGAAAAATGCCACCTGTTCATTACCTTCACAACAGACCCTTTTCTTATGGTGCCTGAATAATGGCAACTAATGGAATAGTTTGGGGTTTAGTGATGTTAACTTGGATGTATAGTGGTAAGCCAGTAGTTCTGGACCTCTTTTCATTCCTGGAAATTGGTTGTGTTTTGCAAAACCAAAATTGAAGTATTTAATGATAGCTGTGGTTAAGACAGACTATGAATGATTTGAAATGGGCTGGAGTGTTAGCGAGTGCAGTGCTGCTGCTATGTTATTATTTCAGAATAGGATTAAATACCCGACTTTTGGTAGGTAATGAGATTCATTTTTACACACAATATTCAGTATTCAGGAATTATTGTAGGATTACGTAATCACTTTCCTTGAATGCACTTGTGTGTGTTCTCTCAGTTCTTATACAAGAAACCAGTTTTACCCCATGTTTTTTCCCAGTTGTGAATAGAAATTATGTTTTTAGAGCCTCCTACTGTTCTGTTGTATCTCAGTAGGAGATTCTGTCACACATGCTACCAGTGTTTACTGTTTTTCCAGATTTGGATGGGAGGTTGAGGGGAGAATTTTAAGAAAATATTTTCCTGATGGCAACTTGTGTCTTTCAGTTCTGTGCCCCTGAGATATCTTGATCTTCCTGCAGAGGCAGTGTATGTGAGGTGACCAGAAAGGTGGTGTTTGCTGTAGGTAAAGAATTTGGTGAGCAAGTGTGAAATAATGTGCAGCACTGTAAAAAATACTTGATGGGGAAAAAAAGCTGGTTTAGGAGTCCTGCTTCTGTACAGGATATTCTGCTGCTTCATGGATTTCATAACCTGGCTAAGAAAATTGCTGCACTTGATTATATTGGAACCAGAAATACATACAGAATATTTGGAGTGTTACACTGTCTGTTCATACAGTTCTAGCCTGTCAGAGCAGGACTATATATATGTAGGTACAATGAATTGTTTCTGCTATTGCAAGGTAACAGAGACCAAGTCAGATCTCTGTCTACCTGAGTGCCTGAACTCAAAAATAAGTGTTGTAGTTAGTTGATTAATACTTGTTTGGGAACTGTCACAGTACTTGGAGGAAGGGGGAGTGGTCCCCCACTTTGTTCTGTCAGAGGAATGGTGCATAAATTGTTGGTGGATGGGTTATTTCTTGTTTGTTTTTCCTTTTCCTCCCCTCTGGCTACCTAACAGAAGTGTATCTGCTTTCCTGGCTAAAATTTTTCCTATTCAGTCCAGGCAAGAAGCAGGTTGATGCATTTTTGTAAAGCCCTCGCTGCTGACAGTAGATCTTTACTCTGAGGATTTGAATTAGGGGGAGGTGCATGCATGATATTTAAATTTTGTTCTGCTGTGGCAGACACTGAGATTCTCCTTGCTGTAACACCATAGTAGTCCTGCTCAGCTACAGGTAGTGTCCTGTCTTCAATCCAAATTATTCTCACTGGATTCTACTCTCTTGTGCCTCTTTGCTAATTAACATCGTTATTGTGTTGTTAGGCCCAAATTTGTTGAAGTAACAGGAGAAGAATGATCGGTCTGTTCTTGTCTTATATTTATTAAAAGTTATATAGATACTGGCACATGGCTTTTTTCCATTAGGAATAGGAACCCATAATCTAACTGTAGCTCTTTCCCGAATCTCCCCAGTACTGCATAAATTACAGGAGGGAGAGGGGACTGTATTGCTTCTTTTGACCTTCAAATTTTTGTTTATCCTACTTGATTTTACTGACATGAATATGGCTTTTTCTAAATCCTTTGGTAGTAAGATTTGCTGAGCTTTGGAGACAGTTAACTTCTGTTTTTATGTTTTTTATCTACTAATGCCCACAGTTGGTTGATGTCTTAAATTTTTTTTATCTCCTTTTAGGTTTTCGTTTTTGCACTGAATGTAGCCAGGACGGATCCTTGTGGGCTTTGGCAGCCCTTGGAAACTGTCAAAGGTAAAAATCAACCAAAGTTCAGTATTGCGGTCTTGAAAGTTGGAGGTGAGAACAGTTGCCTGTACTAGTTCTTAACCAACTATAGGGTATATTGCTGTTTTCATAGACTTTCTAGTGTGTTATTTCCTGTGGCTTTGGGTGTGAAGTTTTTTATTTCACTGTGTGGTGTGATTTGATTTTTTTCAGCTGAAGCTGATGTGTATGATGTATAATCTTCGAAAACTACTTAATTTACAGTGAGATTTTTAAAGTCACTGGAATTGGTGATTATTTCCTGTAAGTAATGAAGTTAACATTCAAGTTCTTTTTTCTTCTAGATGCTCTTGCTTTCAACTTGCATTTAAAGTTGAGATGAAAAAAAAATTCGGTTCTTCTCCATGTTAATGTTGCATTTGTACATTCTCAACAGACTCAATGTAATATAAAGCTTAGCAATTAAATATATGGCTTGATCATCTGTTAAAAATGAACACTTTGTTGTCTGTGTACCCAGAGACTGGTGATAGCAATCATGTATTGATACAGTTCTGTCAAATAAGCACTGTCTCATTTAAGGAGCAGTTGAATAAAGTACTGCCTTGTTCTAACTGCTCTTTTTTAAAGTTTGCCGTGTATACAAGATCATCACCTTGGAAGAGCACTTGTGTGCCTGTTTGTGCCTGTTTTGCTTTGTGCTCTTGTTTGGGACCTACCTTCCATTTCTGCTTCGTGTCTGTAATGGTGATAGTTTGTGCAGCCTTACTGACCATCAGGGCTTTTCAGTGGACTATATCCAACTTAGACTTGAGAATTCACAGGAATAACAATTGATTTCACATTAATAAGTGCTTCTCTTGCAGCTGGACTCTTAAGAAGCTTGAAACAGGTTTTTCTTCTTTATCAAATGAGGAACTGTTTTTCTCCATATTTCGTTGCTGCTGGCGATCTGTAAAAGAAAGTGTTGTTGCATGTGAGGCCCTTGTATTAGATAAGGTGCTTAGTCCCAGCAATGCCTGTTTGATGAAAACAAATTTGAAGCAATGTGAATTCCAGCTCTCTCTTGCTAATGAGGACCTTGTGTTTTTCAATGACGGACCTTTCTATGTGTGGGGAAAATTAGGCCTGGAGGAAGTACCTTGTTCACTGGTATTGATTTCAATGGTAAGGATTTATAAGTGTATGGAAATTTGGCTCAGGATTTACTTGACACAGTGTGTTAGAATGCAGTAGTGAAGAGATAGGTGGTCTGTACTGTTCAGCCTGCACTGAGTTTGTGGCTTGTACCACCGAACAAAATGTGTACATCCTTACTGCAGAAAGAGACAGAACATAAATAGGACTAAATATTAAACTGGATTGTCCCAAAATCGTATTGTTATGACAGGACAGTAGTGTAGTAGGCATTAAAGTTCATAAGAAATCCAACTAGTTCATATTAAGGTATCTTTTAACTTTTGAGAGTAGATTCTTATTAGTGTATTATAGTTTAAAGATTTAAATAAAAGTTGTTCCTAAGTTTAGACATGCATTTGCTACATTGTATGTGGACATACCTGTGCATTGCTGTTGGTCACACCTTCCTGGGCGTTCTCACTCAAGTTGAAGTTGGTTAATTTTTCTGAAAGATATCAAGTGAATAAAAAGATTGGGGGTTTTCAGTAACATCTGAAGTAGTTTTGATGGCTATAAGCAAAAGTGGAAGAAGAGAATCATCTTATTTTTGACCTTTTCCAGTAGTGACTTTGTCGATAAGTGTTGAATCTGAAAATCTAAATGGGCATCTGTAAACTTTATCACCTGGGAACCTGGCATAACACATAAGCATTGAAAATGAGGGAATAAATGCCTTTACGCTTTTGACATTTTCCCAATTCTATAGGACACTAGTTGTTATTTACTGTCCTCCATGTATAAAATAAATTACCCTGTGTATGACCTTCAGCCCTCTGGTCAGATGCTAGTGAACTGAAGAGGTGGTGTCAACAACTGGAATAATGATGTTATTTCTTCACATGCTGTCAGTAAGCAGTTGCTCTGTTGGCTGAGAAATCACCCTGGGTTATAAATGACTACTATAAAAGTCTGCTATGGAGATAAGTTTCCCATTGATTCAGGAATCTCAAAATGTTTGCTTTTGGCAATAAATAAACTTGCGATGCAGCACTCTTGTGCCAGTGGCTGAGGGAATTTGTGATTCATATATGCAAAAAGAACATAAAAATTATAGTGTTGAATTGGGCTCATAGTTTATTGCCTGATGTTTTGTCCCCTGAAAGAACCCAGAAGCAAATGCAATAATAAAACAAACCAAAACCCCAAACCCAATAAAATGATAGTGTTCAGCAAACCTTCCTCTTGCAACACCTCTTGTAGTCTGTGGCTTAGGGTTTTCCTGCACCAGCTACAAGATTTTTTTCATGGACTTTTTTTTCCCCATGTCAAGTTTTCTGGTAAATTACTAAGCCTGTTAAAGCTTCTACCTTCTTGCCATCCTGTGTGAGTTCACTCTGAGCATTGTATGAAATAATATGGTATGTATTTTAAACATTAAAGCTGATAAAATATTAATTGTGGGACAAGTAAAGAGTGAAAACTCTTTTTCTTCTCTTTTGCATTTCCTTTTTTATAATTTTTATTTTTCTATTTCCTTATCTCTGAGCTGTGGATAATTCCAGTCTATTTAATCTGACCTCAGTGGAAGAGCTTGCTTAATTTTGTTGTTGGGGTTTTTTTTGTTGTTGTTTTTTTTTTTTAATTTCCTAGTTCTACTGCCTTTTATTTTTTCCTCCTTGAAGATGTAGTTTTTTGTCTTTTCCCAGGAGTAGTATATAAAAACTCGTATCAAATACTGACAGTTCCTCTGGTAGTGAGAGATATCTCAGAAGATAAACACGAATCTCTGAAAAACTGCCGTGTTTGAGTTCTTCCAGCACTCTGAATGAAAACTCACTTCTCCTTGTAGTGCTCTTGGCCAGACCTGAGTGGTCTTGTTTTATTTATAAGCTTTTTTTAATGTTTCTATAGGTCAAACTCAGTCTTGCTCGTATCTCTGATTTTGGGGCTGGTTCAGTGCCACAGCAATCCTTCTGGCCAAAGCTGTTTTGGCCATTAGGCATCAAACTATCTGTCTTACATTCTGTGGAACTTCCCAATTACTTGACTCTGATACTGCAAAATCATGCTCCAAAACTCCCAGCTCCAGAAGTTCTGGAGTGGGGTTTCAGAAACCTGTTGTGGTGAAGAAGTACCATGGACAGAGACTGCCTGGCCCAGCCTCCCTCACTGCGGGTACAGAACAGAAAGATTTGTTAGAGGCAAGAGGATCTTGGTGTAGAGATCATGTTTAGCACTTGATACCTCTGATTTTTGATTATATGCTGCAGGCAGAATATTTAGTGAGGATTTGGGTGAGAGTTTTTGTCCTCATTCCCTTTTCCTCCTTTCCCAGAAATTACTACACTAAGTCTTTACAGCTCCCATGCTTTGCATGAGAATGTACAATATTACTGAACATAACAGTTAGTTGTTTATAAGATTTAATGAGTTATATGTAACATTTTGTGTTTCAGGCCCTTTATATTTGTAGAATGTGTTCTTTGCTCCTTGAGTCAACTGAACGGCCGTGACAGATGTTGTCCAGCTGTGTGCAACATACAGAAGAGGTTGGCAGTGCAGACAGCCTTACCCTATGAACAGGCTTTAACGCTGAAATGAGGGAGATGCATCTAGATGATGCACCAAGCTTTGTCTTTTTGACTTCCTTGCTGTTTGCATTCCCAAAGCCGTCGGTTTCCAGGCTTAGAATTGCTGCTGTGAAGGTGCCAGACAGCAGCTCTGGAGCTGAGGTGCAGAAATGGAGAGACTTGAAATGGATTTTAAATGCTGGTGCAGTTGAAGAGTTACACCATCTTGAGAGGGACAGCTGTTAAAGGCCAACAGCTCAGTGTGAGCCCTTATGTTCAACATACCTGGAGATGTTACAGATCTGCTCATGGCTTACATTTGCATTTTGTGAGTGAGAGATTCCAGCTGAATTTATGCTGGTGCATTTGATCTCCTAAGTTGACTAATTTGATCCATTACTTCTGAAAGATGGCTTATCCTCTGGAGTAAAGACATTCTAATCTTAGTAACCCAAATCTCTCTAACTATATTGCATTCTTCCATAAGTAACTTTGTAATTCAAAGAACAGACTTTGGGTGTGTAGATTTTGTTCAGTTGGAACTGCATTGATACTGTCAAACAAATTTAAAAATAAGTTACCAGGTGGTGTTGAATATTGGAAACACCTGGGAGCTGTTGACCTGGGTTAGATTGGAAATGTTGACCTGAAGGTGAACGACTTTATCAGTTCCCTGAACCATGTAGATTCTAGAATGTATTTATTTTTAAAATGAAGTCAGGGAAAAATTCCCTAAAGTAAGACTTCAGAAGTACTGTGGCATCACTGGAAGTCTAACAGTTTTTCAAACTAATAACCTTTAGATTGTCTGTAAACTGAATATGCGAAGCTTCTATTTGCACAAAAGCTATCTCCTACTGAGTGCTAGGATTGCTCAGCTCTAGTCTGTGTGATCTTTCCTTAGTAAGACTGTAGCCTGAATGAGTAAAAACAGTGACTATGTTAAATACTCAGCAATGACACTTAAAAATTAAAGTATATTCCTGTTTACTGTTTTGGGGTTTTTTCTTTTAATTAAGTAGTTATGTCCTATCCTGAATAACGGTTGTCTTACTTCTTTGTGTAAAACATATAATTTCAGTGAATATGTGCAGAATGGCAACATTAAAGGTCATAGCCTAGAATGCTCTTTATGTGTGCTGCAATCTCACTGTTAAAGGCAGAAAAATCACTGTTTTTAAAATATATTTTTCTTTTTTACCTTTTAGGCAGTATTTTGCATTTCTGCAGAGCTTTGCACAGATCCTGTTCCCATGCAAACTGATGAGGGAGAAATACTGGAGGAAGGCAGTCCCAAGGTTAGTGAGGTAAATGGCACTGTGTTTTGGAGGAACAAGAGCTTGCTTGCGTGAAATGGGGGATACAGGGGAATGACCATCGATTGGTAGTGGTATTTTTAATAAATACTTGCATGCATATATTTATTATATATTACCATGGAGATACTTAAAAAATAACCTTTTAAAAAGCCTTTTGAAAGACAGGGTTTTTTGCCATCCACTAAGGATTGGAACCTGTGGTTTTGGGCACTCCCAAGAAGGAGAGAGGAAACACTTGTACAAAAATACTAACCTTGATTGCATTTAATTTGTTAGAACTGAAAGGGCTTGTCAAGCTTTGTATCCTACCCACCTACCCTCTCAAAGAATTAGACATGTGGGCCCTTAGGTGTGGGCGTCAGTGTTTTTGGATTGCTGACTGACCTATATTGAAGGTGTTCTGATTCTTGTTTCCTTGTGCTTGCCGGCCTGTGCTTTGCTGTGAGACAGGACTGTACGTTGCTTTTAAAGGTACCTCTTGATTCTCAGCATACCTTGTTGGGACAAGAGGGTATAAAGTGTGCTGTTGAATACAGTGTTGGTTGTGTAGTGCTCTTTGCTTACTTCCTGAAGAAGCAGATGTTGAGACACAAATTACTTTGGTTTGCATAATGACATAGCCCTTATCATATTCTTCAGTAGGTTTATAAATATAGTTTATAGTCTTGGCTATCTCAACGAGTTAGTGTTAACACTGCAACTGATCTGTGTTTAAAACATGGCTCCAGAATTCCAGGAAAATCTGAATCATTGTTAGCTTGCTTGTAGTTTTGTGTAAAAGACAGGCTGGAAAAGCAAAAAAAAACTATAGGACTAAAATGGAAATCTGTTTTTTAGGTGGACCTTTGGGAGATATTTTAGTTGTTTTAGAGTCTAAGAAAAAATATTTTTTAAACTGTATGCACCAAGTTACAAGGTAATTATTAGAGAGAGGATTTGGCAATTGTGCTGCCTGTACTTTAGGAATTATGTTTATTTTAAACAGCTTTAAAGGAAGGTTGGCTCTAGATTAGGAGCTGACAAATGAGAACATATCAGTGGACATACTTGCAGCCATCTAGGGTATTGAATCCATCTTTTGACAAGGATGTGATTACAGGTTCAGTGGGAAATAGACATGTGAGAGGAGACATCATGGTGCCATTAATTACTGATTTTTAGCATGGTTACTGGTGCTTACTTTTCACCTCACAGAGAGGATCTATGTGTGTGTACATATTTATGTATATACAAACAGGTGTCTGTGTGTATATTTATGGATACATAGCTTTCTTTTTTGTTTTGTCCTTGTGACCTGAAGTAGATTGAAGTAACTGTCTTGCAACTTACTTAACTTAACCTTTTTCTTCAATGAAGTGTATGCTTTTCGTTGGCAAGCTTAGTTCTGGGTGTAATGGCAAATATTATATCTGCTCCAGCATTAGGTGCTCAAAAAGTTGAGCGAGCTTAAATTTAAAAAAAAAAAATAAAAAAAAATATATACATATCTATACATACATACGTACTGACTTTGAATACTTAAATGTGTGTTCAATATTGTTTAGGAAGAATGGTCATTTAGAGAATGACAATTCTCTATTTAGAGAATGTGGGAGATTGGGAATCATGCATCTGGTATTCAGAGTTATTAATGAAGAGCTAGATAGGATCAGTATATATTAAACAAAAAAGAGTCACGACTACATCTAGTCCTTCTCCCCATCCTGTGATGTACACTGAAGTCTATTTTTCAGTATTTCTTTAGTCTATAAATGATTATCCTCTCTTCCCTTGTCCCAGGAGAGTTTTATAGCTATAACAGTTAAAGGATTTGTCCTAGAAGAGTTTAGGCAAAGTATATTCCATTGTATTGTCTAGTGCCATTAAAATTATTCTCTTGATTTGCAAATGTTTACATGATCTAGTGACCCATTTTCATAAAGATATATTTTTCTAAGAAATATCTTTTTTAAGTCTTCAGTAATGTATTTCGGTTTTTTTCCTTTTGTTAGGACATCCCTTCCTCCTGCCCATCCCAACTCTTCCAGGCAGGAGACATGAGGTTTTTTGCAAAAAACATGAGGTTTTATGCTTTGAAGACAGTAATATAACTACTTATTCATATTCTATTTGGATTTTTCATTTCTCTCCTTTTACTCATTCCAAAAAACACTCATCCATAACTAAAAGTGAATTATATAATTATTATAACAGTTATTGTTCAGACTAGTGGATCTTTTCTTCTGTGTTTTTCTAGGTGTTTGGGGTTTTTTACACCCATATTTAAGTAACAGCAGTAGTTTTGGACTGAATTTACATTCTCTTCTCAAAAATCCCATGGTTTACCTGTTCTTTTGCCTTCACTAGAAATACTTTTTGAGCTATAAACATTGTCTTCTAGCATTTTATTTCCTATGAATCCTTAACATTCCAAGTGTTCCAAGGACTTGAAACACTTCATAGATTAGCAGCTCCTTTGAAGCTCTTCTTAACATTGTATAAGTTGAGTCTGCAGCTCATAGATCTTACAGGAGTAGTAAATGCTGAGTAAGCTCATTCCAGCTACTTTAGTGATAAGTCAGATTAATTTCCTATTCTTACCCTCTGCTCATAATAATTTCTATCCAAAAATGTATCCTTACATGCAATACAAAGAATGAAATTACTGTTTAGGGTGATTGGTAGCATTTGTTATTGGCTGCCTCAGAATCAAAGTGGGCAAACTTTCTATCTTGAAGTTACTTCTTCAAGTCTTATAGGACTTCAGCAACAGTATTAAAGCTATTGTTGCAAAAGGTGGAAAGATTGTAGAAAATGTATTTGTATACTTTTTTTTGTTTGTATTTTAAGACAAACATAAAATGCAAGTTAAAAACCACTTTATGACCAAAAGACAAAAGCCCAGGCCTACATACTGGAATGCCTTTATGTCAGCTGCACTTGAAGCATTTCTGTTGAGTGTTTAATGTCCTTGCTGTGATTGGTTTGATACATTTTTTTTTTCTTTTCAGAATGCAAGATGCTCAGGGGTCTGGTAGGTGCTTCCCCACAGTTCAGAATTTCCCTTATTCAGTTTTAGTCTTGACAAAAAGTGGGAAACCTCCATTTGGTCCTCTTGCAGAATGTTCTTGTTACCACTTCAAGCACTTGAACAGGCAAGAAAATTATCTCTAGACTCTGTAGCCAAATCCTTTCCATGCTGTTATATTTTGCCAAGAAGAGTCTTAGCCAAAGTGTCACCTAATAATCACTTCTGACACTGTCATAAACTGATCTCAAGTCGAAAATCGATGTGTCTTAGTTTCCATATGTATGCATTAAACTTGAAGGAAAGAAAGTAAATATGCTAACTTGTAGACATATCTTTGTTATATTGATATCAAGGTGTTCTGCTTTTATTTAGAACCATGGAAAGTCATGCTCATAACTTATTTTTTTAAAGAACAGGTCTCACTAAATGAAGTTCTCTGTCTCAGGGTGTTAATAACTGACTCTTGTGACTCCACGAAATGACAAAGCAAGAGGGGTTCCTGTTAGTAACATGTCGCTGGAAAAGCAGTGTTTAGAATAATATTCTCAATTACTTCAGACTGTGGATCCCATGACCAGTTATCAGTATTTGTTTCCAGAATCTTCAGTTAAAAGGAAGTTTAATTAATAGATGTCATTCACTTTGCTTTTTATGTTCTTGCCCAGTAGTGTGGGAAAAGAGAGTATGTTAACACTGTCAGCAGTCCTAACCACTAAGAAGCCTTGGTACTTTTCTTCTGGAATCACAATGGCATAACTTGAGGAACCCAGTTTATTGTAGATTGAAGTATACTTGAATGAAGTATTCTGGAGTGTCAGAGATGACATCAAAATCACCTGTCACAGAGATACCAAGAATATCAGGATATAAAGATCTAAATACTGCAAGAATTAATTTTATTGTGGTGCCAGTCAGAAAATAACCTAAAATGTTACTCATGAAGATTCTATCATATAGTGGAAAACAAATTATTTGTTGTGCTTTATGCCTTGTGAACTGGTTTCATTCTACAACTGTTTCATATTTTCTGGCATCCTAGACTGTATAGCATTCTGAAGCATCAAGATCAAGCCTTGAAGATAAAAGGAGATTTCCTCTGGTTTTGAGAAAGGAAAAAAAAAAAATCATACCTCATGTAGAACCGAACAAGTCATCCTAAAGACTAAATATTTATGTCCTTCAAACTATTTAACAGTTTATTTAACTATTATGTGGAAGATATGATTAGAAAATTTAATCTCTGCAGTCAGGCATCATGAAGAGTGATATTCCTGCTTGACTCCTAGCAACCTGACAACACTGTTACAGAGTTAGCTTTCATGCTTGTCTTTGCCACTCTTGAAATGAATAACAGAAACTGAGAGGCAACTTCTTGGTAATTAAACTTAAGGAAAGTTACTGATGGACTCAGTTCTCACTTTGGTGTTTGTTTTTATCACTGTTATTAATGCATACACTTTAATTTTGTAATTTTTTTTTTTAAATATTGTGGTTGTTGAGGTGCGATTGTGTTCTCTCAATTTTGCATATTTGGGGAAATTTCTAAAATTCTTCTCTTTAGTTTTTTGACAGCATATCCTCTTGTCATTCTTTGGATTGCTTTCCAGCAGAGAGTGTGTTTTGTGCCAGTGTGTTTTCCCCTTCTCCCCACTGGCTGCTTTTGGAGAAACTTACTGTCTTGGAAGTTTTGTGGCTGGGGCTTTTCGTATGAACTGATTCCATTGTCTGATCTCACAGTTTCTTCCTTGTTTTCAGACTAACAGAAAATACTCTTTCTCTTAAAATGGCATCAACGTGGTAAAGACAGCTGGCACCTGTCAATAGCATGCTCTTGATTGCAGTAATTATCTAATAGTACCACAAAGGAGGAAAGCAACTGTGCAGAAATAAGCTTTTTCAAATGACCATAGAGTTTTTTCAGATGTAGTTAGTTTTGGCAGATATGGAAGTCTTAGTAGTAGTATTTGGTGTATTTTAT